GTCTCTGCTCCCTCTACCCCTATTCCTAGCTTTTATTCCAACCCCCTTTTATTTCACAATAGGATTGATGAATTTAGTAAATAGGTGTGTCATTTTAATATTTTTAATGTTAATAATAAAAATATTATCTTTAATTACTTAAATGTCCATTTTCTAAATAGAATCTAAACTATATTTTTTTTAATCTTAGATTATTACATATTTATTTTGGATATTTTCTAAAATATTTTATTATATTTAAAGGTTAAAAAATAGTTCTAAAAACATAACAAAAAATTTATTTTTAAAAAAAAATTATAAGAACATATAGAAAAAAATCATAAAACTTCATAATAAATTATATATATATATATATATATATATATATATATATATATATATAATATAAAAAATAATTAGTTTAATTCACATGCACTATATTAATGGAATAGAATAATATTTTCTTATCTTTATCATTAGAGTAAATTTGTTGTTCTTATTATTGTTTTTTTTTATTTTTTTATCTTTTTTTTGCATTATAAATTAATAATTAAATGAATAAAAACTTTCTTTTTCTTCAACCAATCTAATAATGCAAAGTGACATTAAGATTTCTACCTTATATACTACATGTATATTTTCATTAAGTTAAAATTTACACAAATAAAACTTTCTACTACAATTGTAGCACATTATTTGGTGATATGATGTGGTTATTGTATATGTACAAACACACTTATAAAAAAAAATAAAAACTTTAAAGATAATAGTTACAAATCACCTAATTTTTTTGATAACATTAGAGATATAAGAATATGAAGTAGATAAAATAATATTAAACAATAATCATATGATTGTGGATAAATATGAAAATAATGGCATTCTTCTTGATCATAAGATATATATCTCATTTCCATTAAATTTTTTAGCATTTGAAATTGTGAAATTAAAACCAATGGTGTTTTAGCACTTTTCTTTTTTTAAATCAACTAATAGTTTGGGCACATATAATATATAAATTAATGTAATTTACCATAATAGTAATAATAATAATAATAAATTATCAATATTTTAAAAATATAAAAACAAAAATGCTTTTTTCAAACATAAGAGTATTATTAATAAAGTATTAATATTATGTGGCATATTTTATAAAATATATATATATACATATATATATATATATATATATATATATATTTTTATACACCTCAAGAACATGGAGACTATAAAAAAGTGGAGCAAAATACCACTGTCTAACTGTCACAAATTCTAGTCAACAATGATCAATAATAATAACAGGAAAAAAAGATGATAAGATACTAATTTTGATAACAAAAAAAATGTTACCATATTTATGCAAAAGTTGTAAAGCTATGCTCACTATTTTTTATCTATATGTTTTTTTAATGGTACGTTATTGTTGTTGGTGGAGCAAAATACAAGGAACCAACATAGGTAAAAGATATTCAAGTTACTTAATGTTTTAGAAGTATAATAAAACCAATGTCTAATATTGCAAAAATGTGCAACCAGTTTGACACAATGATTCATTCAACTCAATAAAATAGAATTTTTTTGTTGAAGATTGAAAATATGCAAATTGAATCTTCTAAAATTAAAAAATTAAAAAACAAATAATTCAGCTTGTAGAAAAATTTTCCACCTTTTGTAACTCATTTAATACAAAGGTGCTAAGTAAAAGGCCTGTAAATATGGTTAGAGTTACATTATCTTCTTCCTAGGAAACATAGGCTTAACTTGTATCACGTAAGTTCTAATTGTTTTTCAACACTTTCAGTATTAATTATACTTATAAAAAATAATTTGAATTTAATTATTTGGTTTAAAAAATAAAGAATTGAATGAGATAAATAAATACAAATTGGTCAAAGTACTTTTTAATGTTATTATGTTAGGTTTTTAAATCTTTAATTTGAACAAAAAATCATTTTACTAACATTATTACTAAATTTAAAATGTACATACTTAATCAAAAATTAATTATTTGAAAAATATAAATTAAAAGCTTTAAATTCCAAAGCAAGGAGAAATTTTTAAAATAACAATGAAATTTTTCAAAACATAACAGCTATAGAAAAATTTAATATATATTTTTTATGGTGAAAGATGAAAAAATTGGAATCATCTTTGTACATGATTACAATAAATCATGAAATAATACAAAAAATGTTATCACTTCTATAAAAAATAAATGTAGCATAGATATTGATTAAGATAATGTGTTGCAACAAGAAGAGATTTATGATGACCAAAATTAGAAGCTTTTAAAAACACTATCTTTGAGTATTAACTTCTTATTGATTGATACTAATTTTTACTTATATTCTAAGAAAACCATATGCTATATAATTTATTTTTTTATCATTTTAACAAATTTTGTAATAAAAAAATTATTAAGAACTTAAAAATATTTAATAACATATTAATCATAATACACACATATCTATGTATTATTAAATTTATGAAAGCTTTTTATCAATTGGAATCAAACAAAGCC